GACAGGTCAACCTGGATCTGGGAAAACAGAGTTAGCTCGACAATATGGTGACCAGTTTATAAATGCGACATCTGCCAGTGATACATCCAAACTTTTGGTGATTACATTGAACGCCAACTCCGAAGAATTTCTCATGAAGTCTGTTAAAGAAGCTGCACGAAAATTACGATTGCCAGTATGCATGGAGCTAACAAACAAAAATCTTGAAGAACTGATGAAAAACCTGAGAGATTATTTCCGTGGCTACAGTGGTGCTTGGCTTCTTATCATTGATGATATGTTTGAAAAGAATGCTTTCAATAAGTTATTTCCACGCCCTGGTGTCAAGGAATGGGGTGGTGGTCAGGTCCTTGTCACAACACAAGATAATAATCTTGTACCAGCTGGTCATTTGTTTGCAAAGCCAATGCCCTTGAACGAAGGTATGACTAAAGAAGATGCCCTTGCATTGCTTAAAGAGATCAGTGATGTTGATGTTGATGATTTTGCTGAAGAAATCATTGAAGAGTTGCGGCGTCTTCCTCTTGCTTTGGCGTGTTGTGCAACATATGTTCGTGAAACAAGACAAGATCGTGCTTCAACACAGTTTGGATGGAAAGAATATCTAAACCTGTATCGTGAAAATGCCAAACTTGAATCCCGATCGTTTTCCAATCACAACGTTTATCCTTTTTCCATGACGGCTGCTACTGCGATGGCTGTGAAGCGAATGGCAGAAACAAGTGATGTTCTACGATTGACATTTTCGTTTCTTTCATATTGTGTATTGCTTCCAGTTCCTTTGAATGTACTAGCACACCACGTCAAGGAAAATCTTCCAGACCAGAATGATAAACAGCCAACAACAAAGGAAGAAATTGAAAACGAGATTTCAAGGTGTACACTGCTCGTTCACGGACAGTCACAGAACGTTGAAACAATAAAATGTCATCAGGTCATTCGCAGTGCTTTTCAAAGTGCAGAAAACACAAAACCTGCTAAACAGCGGGAAATTGAATTTGTTAAAATGATTAAATCTCAGAATGAGACACTAGATTTCATGGACAATACGTGTAAAGAAGACGTGCTTCGTAAAGTCCTTGTGAGACCACACCTGAAATCATTTGTTGGTTATGCCAATGGTAAGTCCTGGAATAATACGGCCGAATTTGTTCTGATTTCCAAGAAAAAAGATCAGTTTCTTTATTCAACATTGGACATGCCTATTGAAGAAGCAGTCAAGAGTCTGGAATTGCTCTGTAACATTTCTTTAGAACTTGACTTATCTGACGAGAGACGTTGTGATATATTAGCCAACCTTGGCTTCTATTATCTAGAACTAGAACGTGATCAAGATGCTTCTGATGTTTTACGTAAAGCTTATTCCATGACCGAAGATAAAAGTGAGGAAGAATGGTTGTTGTTAAGATGTCGTATCTCATTCTACTTGGCCCAGACGTATTGCAGTTTGGACAGTGTTGACCTTGGCATAGAAATGATGAAGACGTCGATTGACTTGGCGAAGGAAGTCTATATCAATGAAGAAGGCAAAATTATGGAAAGATATTTTTGGCTTTCTCACTTTTGCTTTTCTTGGAAGAAATTTTGGAAATTAGGAACCATTGTCAAAGAAGCAGAAGAATTTATGTCAAGTTGCGCTCCAGATAGTGAGAGCTTAAGCAGAGCACGTTGTTTAGATTACCTATCGCGTGTGTACGAGTACTATGACAATATTCAGTCTATTTATAAGGCTGTGAAGTACCGGAAGTACATGACATTAAGAGAAGATTTGATTAACAAATCTGTAAACATTTATGAACGAGTACTAGGAGCAGGCGTCTCCTCGTGCTCAGAATACTGTGCATTACTCGCCAAGTCTGCAATACTTAAATTAGAGACAAACCCAACTGAAGCAAGAACACAACTTGAGAAAGCTCTTGAATACTGCAATCAAAATGGCGATAAGTTTAACCATAGCTGGATAGCTGCTCGTAAGAAACATTTGTTTGACAATTCAACTTGGTGGCGGAAGTTGTGTTATGGTATTGGAAATTTAAAAAAGGGACGTCTAGTGTGGGCCGAGCATATTAACATTTGTGATGACGTCTTGGAAGATTGTAGTAGTGGAAGAATTTCACCATCACCTCGAATGATAGCCCCGATCAAGAGAAAAAGGACTTATATGGTTTGGGTCTGCAAGGGATTTCTGAGCTTCTATCTGGGCTATTTTTTTATTTTATCTCTCAAAGCTTTATTTCTGCAAGCCCCGTAATTCAGCAGCGAATTTTATAAATGATAATATGCATAGACTCTCGGGGCCACAAAACACACCGTTTTCCCGAGATCTCGGTGAATAAGTGTTTATTATTTTGAAATTATATTATGTGTCAAAGTTGAATAGTTCACATGCAGAAACTCTTGAAAGAACTTTGCTTTGAACTTTCTGGTTGATGCGAGCAGCTCGCGCCTCACTCCCAGTTTTATTATTGACCAGTCAATAATTGTTTCATTGTTGATCAGTTGCTCCCTCGTCACAGATTAAGTATGAACAGATGTGTAACTTCAGTAAAAACGGTCGCCATCTTCATAGCAAGTGTCACTCGCGTGGATAATTACCTCCGCCAGGAGGTTATGTAATCATCTGGGTTTGTATGTGTGTGTGTGTATGTGTGTGTGTGTGTGTATGTGTGTGTGTGTGTATGTGTGTGTGTTTGTCTGTGAGCACGATAACTCAAGAAATACCCAACATATCCGTACGAAATTTTTTGAATGCATTTCCCATCGGCTAAGGAAGAACTGATTAAAATTTGGTTGAATTTGGTTAAAAATTGAACGAGAAATGAACAAAATTTTGTCTTGCTTTTCCCGGTCAATTAACAAAAAATATTACTGAATGCGTAATTAGGACATGTATAATTTATGCACTCAGTGCTAAGACAATAATGAGATGATAAACCTCATTAAGCTTCGGCCTTCATTATCTATTGTCTTGGTTGCATTTCACGCGACCGAAATTCAATGTCTAAAACAAGGCTTACGGAGTTACGCATTATTACGTTCAGCAAAGTGCCAGTCCATTCAAATTCTAACAACATTAGATTACTTCAATACAGGGTGCATAAAAAGAACGCAACCTCGGAATTTCCCAAGAAATCGACATTGTTTTAAAGACAAAAGATTTTAGCTGCCTGGGAATTTAAAATAGCACAACTGTGAAAATTACTGCACGCGCAAGTGCATAAAGCAAAATTTATGCATTTATTTAATGACACTTAATAAGTTTTTATTTTACAAGTACTGTACAGTACAACAACAGTAATATGTTCTATTAGCAATTCGATTTCAATTCGCGGGGGCCTGAAATCTTTTATGCTTAAGAATTGTAAAGTGGATTTCTTAGGAAATTCCAAGGTTGCCTTTCACTTCCGAGTAACGGGCGGAGGTATGCAGTCTCTGAGTGCCCTCTAGTTCGTCATGTGGTAATACGAATGTTACACCGCCATCTTCCCAGCAAGTGTCATGACGTGTACAACTTAGGGAAATTTGAGGACACGAAGTCCTATGAAGTTGCACATCAGAGGCCGGTTGTTTAAAGTTGGGTTAGCTGAACCCTATAGGTTAACCTAAAA